ATATGCAACTCACTTAGCAGAGTAGTATTTTGTTGCTCAGTCATTACCCTCCTAGGGGGACCTTCCCTGACCACTCTATCCCAATTTAAACCTGCCCCTACCATTTCATGATTTTTTTTTTCCTTTGTAGTTTTTGCTTTCTAACATATTACATGTTTCACTTATTGCTTTATTATCTGTCTCCTCCCACTAACATGTAAGCTCTATAAAATCAAGAATTTTCTCAATTTTGCTCAGAGTTGTAACCTCAGTTGGTATCTAGTACAGGGACTGACATATTGGAAGAACTCAGAAAGTATTGGTGGGATAAAAGAGTGAATAAATGTTAACTATTATTAATATTATTATTACGATCCAAATGTTTCCTTTTGAAACCTAACAGTTTATACTTCCTGTGTAGTGTCTCAATTGTTCTTATGTCTTATTCCATGCTTTATTTAAATCCCATCCTGTACCAACCAATGCCCATCAATCTAACTTCAGCTCATTTCCAGCTGTGTTCAAGTTCTGCCTCTTTCTTTAATATTCCCTGATGACTCTAGCTCTTTAGCTCTCTGAATGTCTGCAGTGTTTACTGTCTATGCTACGCAACTTGACACTTGATTATCCTAATTTAATGTCACTGGAATGAGTAAGTTCTAAGACATTTACTGAAAAAGGCTACACCATTCAAGCAACAATCTTTTCATGAAAAATTAGACAAGAAGGGGGTCCCAAGGGAAACAATGGAAAAACTTACGGTTAATAAGCCATGTTGTCCTCAAACAACAGAAATAGTGCTCTACATTTTACAAGGCACTTGAATACATATCAGCCTGGTTTTGACTAGATAATTTCAAAGACTACATCTCCTTGCTCTCAGATTTTCAAGATATCTTCAAGTGAAGTATGGAGACAATATTTCTTGAGGTTTAAAAATTGAGAATAAGTCATGCAAGTTATAACAGAAGCATATAATGACCCAAGAAGTTGTTGAATCCAGAGATGGCAAAATAAATGGCTTTCTTGTCCCAAATCTTCCTGTCAGCTGGGTCTGGAAGAGGCTCACCATCATCCCCCATGCAGCCCTCTATGCAGACATTACCAACTGGTGAGAGCAGATAGGCAGGGGACACCTGTTTGCCATCCTATACTAGTCTAACCATCTTGGATCTAAAAGCAAAGGAAACTGATGCTAAGCTACTTAAAGTGACTTGTCCAGGCACATATGTACATGGTGGCAGACCAACACCAGACCCGCCTCTTGATTCCTTGTCCAGAACTCTCCCCACTACTCTTCCTAATTCATTTTTGAAATTTGGTATTTAAATTTCCATTTTAAAGTGATCATAATACAAGAAGCAAACCTTTGACAGTTTCGATATTAATGCTTATGAATATAATGTTGAAATAAAAAAAATGACAGCTTTGAGTTGAGCGATAGACAGAATTGGTTATTTTGTTATTTTTTAGTTGAGTTTATTTACCTAAGCCTGGAATGTGTCATGACTGTTAATAGACAAAACAGATTATTTTAATTCCACTGTCATAGAAAAAGAAAAGGGAAATAGTCTTCATTAATAAGAACTGGGCTCAAATCCAGTTCCAAAATAACCTGAATCAACTTTTTAAAGGTGACCTTTTTCTCATTAACGGCAAAGCGTTATTTTAAAAATAGTTTAATCACTACATTTAAATTTTAGGAAAACATATTTATTAGAAGAAATATTAAAAAAGAGATAAAGGAAAGAAATAAGCATCTATTTTGATATAAATAGTGACCATTTCCTGACCATAGAAATTATACAAACATTTATTTTATTATTTCTTTACTTTAAAAAAAATTCATTTTACAGTTACAGTGGACATACAATATTAGACTAGTTTCAGGTGTACAACATAGAGATTAGACATTGATATGCCTTATGAATGATCATCCCATTAAGTCTAGTACCCATCTGACATTACACTTAGTTATAATATTATTGACTATATTCCCTATGCTGTACTTTACATCCCCATGACTATTTTTATAACTGGCAATTTGTGTTATGCTAAGTGAAATAAGTCAGAGAAAGTAGTACCATGTGATTTCACTTATATCTGAAATCTAAAAAACAAAGCAAACTAACAAACAAAACAGAAACAAACTCATAGATACAGAGAACAAATTGATGGTCGCCAGAGAGGAGGTAGTTTGAAGGAATGGGTGAAAAAAGGACTAAGAATCACATTTTAGAATTATACTTTTCCAGAACCTCTTTCTAAAGCATAGTTTCCAAATATCAAAATCACCTTTGTAACTCAGTTGGAATGAAACTGACTTGTCAGATTTTACCTAGCCAATTGACAATTGTCTTGATTAACTCATTTTAGGCATACTATAATTGAAGCTGCCTTTGGTGGGCAAACCACCATCTAACTCAGTTAGAAATCACCTCTGGCACCTCTGCATTACCCAAGGAAACCAGGCTGACAACTGTACCTCTGATACTTCATAGCGTTAATCCAATTTAGCAGCTGTGTTACTTAGTCACAAGGAAACCAGCAGTTGGTACTATTTTACCCTGAGGTGAGCCTGACTCATATTTGAGGGTAACAAGAGGAAAGTAGCAAATACACAGAATCTCTTCTCTTCGGGATGCACCCTGCTATCATGCGGGGGTTGAGGGTAGAGGGTGACAGGGTGTGGCTAAAACAGCCAGAGGAAGTTCAGGGCTTGCACTGCCCCTATCCCACAAAAAAAGGGCAGTCAAGTCAAGGGTTCTCCCAGGGTGTGGATAACACATAAGAACAATCCCAATGAGCCTCAGAAAAATCTCTCCACAAACTGATGCTTATTATGAGACCCCTAAAAGGGCTGAAGTGATTCTCACCACTTTGTGGGTTGAGATGATGGGTGCTCCATGAATTGGGTCAAGACAATAATAAAACCAAAGTTCTGTTGAGACCCCATCCTGCTAGCCCAGGCATGGATCTTTTTTTTTTTTATTTTTTATTTTTTTATCCTCACCTGAGGACATTTTTTTGTTCAGGTAGAGTGGGAGGGAGAGAGAGGAACAGAGAGAGAGAGAGAAACATCGATGTGAAAGGAACACATCGAGTGGCTGCCACCCGCACGACCGACCAGGGCCGGGGACAAACTGCAACCGAGGTACTGCCCTTAGCGGGAACTGAACCCGGGTCTCTCAGGACCGCAGGCCGACGCTCTAACCGCTGAGCCAAACCGGCCAGGGCCAGGCATGGATCTTTTAGGCAAACAGGAAAGTACACCAGTACTTCCTAAAAAATGTGTGTGAAACACTAGAATACTCTGCTTTCTGGCCTAGTCATTCCCCAAATCCCGAGATCTCTTCTCCTGAATCACACTATTGAACCATTTGTTTCAATCACCCACTTACTCGCTTGGAGAAAGGGGCAAGTATCCCAACTCACTCAGCAGAAATATTTTTAGAATTATGTTTTAGCACCCAAGCCACCATTCACATTTATGGAAAATCATTTTAAATGTTACTATTTACATAATAAAGAAACCAAATTCCCTGAAAACTAACAGTATGTAGGCTAATCCAACATAGTAAATAGAGAATAAGTTTGAGAGTTGGAAAAGACTTAATTTAGAAATCATTTTTGTCCCTTCCTAGCTCTGTGACCATGAGTAAATTATTTGTTATTTTTGAGCCTATGTTTTCTGTTTAATAAAATAATCTTAATAAAATTTATCTCACAATGTAGTTCTGAGGATCACATAAAAAAACAAAGAAAAGGGCATAAAAATGTCTGACTCGTGGTAGAAAGTAAATAAATATTCATTTCCTTCCCCCTATTTCCCTTTTTCTAGTAAAGAAAATATCTATTAAAATGCTTTTGAATATTATATATGATTTAAAATTAATTAACATGCCAATGTCTTACCTATGCACCTGTTCTTTATATCGCTAATTTGAAACAATTACTATTTATGCGATTATACATAAAATGCAAATGAATTTTAACTCTGCAGTCACTTGGTTGAACAATTCACATGGATACCATAATCTGGATCTCTTTTTCCAGAAATATGCTGCAACCTATTTCTCTTCTAATCAATCCTACTATGATAGAAGAGAAAGAAAGAACTAATCCTCTTCAGTTAAACAATAGCAGTATTTTATGGCTCTTTTTTCCATGGAGTACTTTTCTTTTGTGTTAGATTCCATCCATCTCTCAAAATATTTTTTCTTATCTGTCTTCCAATTTCTTCTTTTCTGTCTTAATATTGCAAATATAGCAACACAGTGTTAGGAGCAAATATGTACACTCTTGCAAAAAAAAAAAAAAGTGGGGGCTAGGGTGTGAAGAAAGGCATGATTGATGCATCTAAGAGAGTAGGCAAGAACAGTTTTATGGCCAAGACAACAGCAGGCCTGTCCATCTGTCCATCATCAAACTGAGTTGTACCCACTATTTATCAACAGGGGGTGGCCATGTGGGTATCACACTAAAATAGAATTTCTATCGTCAGGAAGACAAAGGGAGGAGGCAAGAAAAAGATTAACTGTTTCTGAATCGATTTCTGGATTAGGATTAGAATGAACTATACAAAAAATTTCTGCAACCTGGCCAGTGTGGCTCAATTGGTTGGAACATCATCCCATACACCAAAAGGTGGTGGGTTTAATTCCCAGTCAGGGCACATACCTGGGTTGTAGGTTCAATCCCCTGTTGAGTGCATGCAGGAGGCAACCAATTTCTCTCCCACATCAATGTTTCTCTCAAATCAAAAATAAGAGAGAATTTCTGCTTGTTTCTTACTCATAGACTATAAAGCTTTTATTCATTATTTTATTCATTCATTAAACATTTTCTGGGTGCTTTTTAGAAGCCAGGCACCATGCTAGCTACTAAGGATAATTTCCTTATCTTAGGGATTCTGTTTCATGAGGAGGACAGAGAAATAAACAATTATAATACAGTAAGAGGACAACTAATATACATACAATGTGCCATGGGAACCCAAAGAAAGAAGTAATTACCTATGCAAAAATATGACAACTTTACAAATTTGTATCATCTTTGCACAGGGGCTCAGCTAATCTTCTCTGTAATATTCCTGTGTTGTTATAAGTGCCACAGGAGTGAGACCAACTACAGAAATAGAATGGAAAATCCAAGAAGGAACAGATGGGTCTTGATTAACTGTGTTTGTCTTGTGGTGCAAAAAAAGTATTGTTGCCATTACCTTCATTTATTGCATCCTTTTTTTTTTTTTAAGTTAGTGTGTCTTTAATTTTATGTGATTTTTTTTATCTTATTAACTCTAAACATGTAAATTTCTATTTTCTATAATATCAGTATGTTTGAAGGTGTGATCACTTGACAATACAGGTAGATACAGATATGGGCATAGATGTAGAACTTTATACAGATATAGATGTAGATATAAAATAGATAGCTTCTTGGCTTCTGGATATATTATTTATGACATATTTCTTGAATTTTCAATGAAACATTTTCTTTCAGGCAATTTCCTAACAGAAAAGTGAATGTAAGGCATAGTATTTATTGGCATTTAGCAAAACTAAGGGATTAGTGCAAATAAAGCCTCCGTGCTTTAAGACATACTATAAAGACTTCCTTTCAATTGTAGAAATGAATAAAGAGTGAATCAAGGGACTCCCATTTAAACTAAAGCATAAAGTCTGTGTAAACCACCAGCTTGAAAATCCTATTTAAATATCTACTGGCTTTGTTGCTAACATGTGCACTTGGAGACAGGAAGTTCTTTCACAATGGTTTCAGATGAAATTTATTATTCTGACACAATTGGGTATGAAATCATTTGCCTTATCTCATCTTGGTTATCTCTGGCATTGGTGCTCCTCTTTGTTGTCTCTGAAGCCATATAGTACCCTAAAGCTACATATCTAAAAACATTGGCATTCCCTTCCATGACTCCCCCACAGTCACAGGAGCCAATGGTACATTCTGAAGTGTTGCACAAGACTTCAGTTTGCTTCAGGCATAGCACCAGGCTTTCCCAGAGTCTGGGTCAGCCTGGGAGAACCCACTCTAGAGAATAACAGCCATCATTCTCCCTACCTCTAATGTGCTGTCCTGGTGGGCACCAAAACTAAAATGCTTTAACTCAAGAGATCATAGTGACACTGGTAATAATCTGGTTATTAATTAACTGGAAAGGAGCAAAGGGAAGGCCAGGTAATAAGGGCATGTCATTTGTACAGCTTTGCCAGGAAGCTGCAGTTTTACACTCTCCAGGTCTGTTCCCTGCAGATCACTGGGAGAAGGAACTGGACAATAGACGCATGCCCAGTAAGGTCTGGGTTTCATGGGAAGGTGCTTGCCTGTCAGTCACACATGGGAACAAATCATTGGCCAGAACAGGTATGTCCACTGCATGCGCCTGCAGATTTGATATTTAAACTTCTAAGCAAAGGGAGTTCTCTCTCACTCTCTTTCTGCCCATGTGTGACTCCTGGTTTGAGAGCTCTCATGCTCTGCACTCACCCACGTGGCCCACAGCCGTGTGGACCCCTCACATTGGACTAATGGACTTTGATTAGCCTGATGCTAAACTGGACTTAACTCCACCATGGAACAGACACTCTGGATGCTGGCTTTGCTTTTAGCTCTGCCGAACCCCTAACAGCCTCTCTTCCAGGAGTGGCTGCAAGGAAATGGGACTTTAAACACTGAGGAATGTAACTCCACAAGAATACAGCTTTTTACCATATTTCATCCTCTCGTGGTGGCCTTTGGAAATGCTTAATCCAGTGGCTCCCCAAGAATCCCTCTCCCACTAGCAATAGAGAAGGGTGATCCACAGACAATTCTCTGATAACAATAGTCACACTGCTCCTATTATGCATCAGTCTGACAAGACATGAAACTCCCAGCTTTACCTCTAATCTCTACTTCAGTCACATAATTGACCTTTTCCACATGACAAAATTTCATTTGTACTTTAGATATGTATTGTAAAAGCCACAGTGCCCATATATAGATATTTCCTTAATGTTTTCATTTTGTCCATCTATAAATTCTATATACGCAATTCTTGGTCACTGGTCTCAGTGTGATTCTAGTATTATGACACCTGGCACAGTTTTGCAGGCAATTTTACATTTACTGAGTATTTACTACAGATAGTGGTAGCGCTGGTGGTGCTGGGCTTCCTAGCTCCACAAGTTATCACAGATCTGTACTGTGATTTTCTGTGATTTTTATTACAGATTTCTAATCATCGTAGTTCTTTTTCATTTATTGCACTTGTCTAAACTGCAAAGAAAATTTGATGAAAAAATAAAAAGTATATGTCCTTACAGTGACTTGAGTAATGACTCAAGCCCAGAGTCTGACTTATAAATGCTATAAAGTCATTCATTATCTTAAGGTCAAAGGCCTGCAAGCTACTTGACATTAAATAGAGGCCAACAGAAGCATCAATTAGTGGAAGTAAAAAAAAAAAAAAAGTGAATATTACTGTGGAAAAAGATGGTTTCTTTCTGATGCTAAAGTTGTGATGTTTCTTTTAGGTTATGTAATAACCAATATTCAGAAACGAGAGATAAGTATTGAATAAACAACATAAAAAGAACTAGGTACCACTAGACTTACGAGTGTATTATGGTTCTAAAAGTCCAGGAGCACACCAGCTGTGTAGTTCTAAGAAATGATTTTCCCTTAAAGCGTCAGCAGACATAGTAGCAATGCCCTGCTCTCTGCTCACATCAGCCAATCTAAGCTGCAATGTAGCTGGAGCACAAAACAGACTTTGTAGCTTTATGTCAAATACACTGACTCATTTGTAACACACTTCTGAATCTCAATTTATGAACAAAATAAAAACCACCATTTACTCAGCATATACAAAATCCTTGGGCACTGTGTCAATTTAATCCTTACTTCAGTCTACGAGATAATTACTGTTATTTTCTTTTACAGAGAAGCAAACAGATCTAAAAAACTAATCTGCCCAGGCATGAAGACATTAATAACACTGTTTATTTGCATAAAAGAAAATGTACTTCATGTCGGCCATTCCCCGGTTTTCATACTTGAGAAGAAATTGCAATCCACACTCAGAGGGCAGAGGCTGGGTGCAGAATCCCCCTAACATTCGCTGGAGCAGGGTCCCTGTCAGGAGCAGGCCACACAGTACAATGGATTTGCACCTTCAGGAGCCTAGTAGATTTAGACACTTCCTTGGGCCCTTTTTAAAGAGTCTTATTAGACCTGTGGATTCTATTTTTAATAAACCTTTTAATCTTTTTTAAATACTCAGCCAAAGAGCAAAGCTGCTGCTTAGCTTGAAGCTACACATTCTGTAGCTTCCATTTTAATTTGTACTTATGTAACCTTTTACCTTTTTTATAGCAAGAAATAGATTTCCCTTCATGAAAGAATAAAATGTGTCCTTAAGGAAAATAGCATTCGTTTTCAATAAACATGTACTAAGTAATTACCTTTTTGAAAGTTAAAGACTAAGCCTGAGGAGGGTAAAAAAGATGGATAAGACCTGTTCTGTGCCTGCCAGGGGCTTCAAACCTAATTATGGAGGCAGAAATAGGAGGAATCAGGGTCAAAATTTAAAGTGGAGTCAAATGGTCCCTCTCCAAGGAACAAATGCTGACACCTTGTTGCTTTGCTAGGAGCAAGCTGTGGCTTCCCAATGTGAGAGAGGGGGCTGGAAACAAAAATCCTCCAAGAGAAACATTCAAGATTCTATATCGAGCAATAACTGTTAAGGTGGAGGGCGTGATGCAGGAAAAAGGGGGCAGCTTCAAAACTGACTTGGGGACGCATGGGGATGCACAAGCTTTAACAAGCCCACAGCCCCTGCTCGCCCACCTTCCCGGGAATCACTGCACAGGGAGCCCCCAGGCATAGAGGAGGATGTCATGTGTCTTCAGAGGTCTTGAGATAGGAAAAGACAGAACCACAGTGTCTAACATGTTGTAGTTTTTCAGGTACTGCACCTAATGACACCATAGTGGATAGTCATTTTTCTATTTGTCCTTATTTAATACTGAACAAATAACATTTTACACAAAAACCCAGATCAAGAGGGACTTAATTCAGTAGCTGATTACCTTGGTCAGTCATTAAGATAAAAGGTTGTGTCTTCAGAAGAGGGCCTGAGTCGCTGCAAAGTTGAGTTGCTTAGAAAGCAGTCTGTGATAAAAACAAGTATGAAGATGGTTATCTAAAGTAAATGATTTTAACTTATCAAAAACCAACCTTTTGGGAATACCCCTATAACTTACTAGGGTTTATGTTCCCTAGATAACCAGAGAAGTAGTCTAATTCTCTTCTAACATAAAATACTGCAGGTATCCACTCTCTTTTGAGAAGACTTCATTGTGTCCTTTATTGCTAACATAAAATTCCCAATGCCGCAGCCCCCTCAATCTCTGCCAGCCCTTACTTTTATTATCTACTCTCACACTTCACATCCACCTGTGAAATACATTCTTAACCAGCTCATGTGTCTGTCTTATCCTCCACCCATATGCACCCTTTTTTCAGCATTCACACTTATGTTTTATATTTAACTGCCATGCTGAACAACAAATTGGATTGTGGTAGATGGCATTTCTCTTCTGAGTTTAGCATTTTTCCCTAATTACAGGGAGGTGTGTGTGTGTGTGTGTGTGTGTGTGTGTGTTTTAACTTGTTACCGAAAAAACAAAACAAAAGGCATTCTTAAAATAAAAAGGAAAAAAAGGTACTTAATTTTACCATATAAAAATTACTACTAAATTTTTTTTCCCCAGAAGTAGTTTTCTTATGTATGTTTTTCAATTTTATATTTCAAAATAATTTTAGACTTAGGAGAAAGTTGCAAAAATAGTTCAGAGAGTTCCTGTATACTCCTCACCTAGCTCCCCTACTGATATCTTTTATTACCATAGTATAATTATCAAAACCTTCTATGTATATTATGACAAGGTTAAATCATTCTTTTTGTTCATAGTTTCTTATATTCAATATAATAGCATAAGCATTTTGATTATTTAAAATTTTCAAAAACTTAATTTATAGTCCAAGTAATGTCATACTACATCGATATATATTTTTAACTATTTCCAGTGTTGAATAATTAGATTGCTTGCAATTTTTTT